ATGTAATACAGCAAGTGAATTTGTTAATAAACTTTCACAGCAAATTAACAAAAAACTTCAAGTTCGAACATATTAGTCAAGTACGGCTTTGGATCAGTTGGCTAATAACCACTGCCTCTGAGGTTCATATTTGGCTGGGCATGAGCCTTGGTACTTGCAGTCTCAAAAAGTTATTTACGAATAATTAAATATAAGAAATAATTCCAAGACCACTAATGATGGGTATTTGGCAATACTCAAAACAGCTGTATGGTCAGCAAAAAATTCAATTAATTAAAAATAATAAAAATAAATTTTTATTGTTGCAATTTCACTACTGTTCGATAAAAACTTCTCTATTGAAAACAATAGTTTATATTTAGTGTATATACAGAAGCTTTCGCACACTTGTGCTTTAATAGAAATTGTAACTTAGTCTTAAGAATTGGAATTTAAAATAAAGTTAGTCTTTAATATACTATGACTCAGTACACAACATTTAGAATTTAGTTTCTTTTGGTAAAACGAACATTAAAAATTAATTTACTTGAATATGAAATACAGTTTAAATACATCCTTAATCTTATTAAGAGGCAATAGTATAGTATTGTATTATAACGCTGTTAGGAAGATACTAGAGATCATTTAAAAACTTTACCATGTCCATTTGTCTGTCTATATTTCTGGCTGAATGTCGGCAAAGTCGATTACCAGTTTTAAGCACTATTTAAATCAATAAAATAACTACACAAAATTACTAAAAGAAATATAACATATATCATAATATATGTGATAATAAATAATAAATAATTATATATAATTGTAAATTGTGTGTAGGATAGGGTAAAGTGCTGCAAGGCTATAACTGATTTTTTTTCTCGTTGTTAATACATTTTGATAAAAAAAAATCTGGAATTTACTTAGTTATATAGTCAATCTGACTGAGGTATTATCGAATCTAACTGATATTTCAAATATCAGTGCTTGTGAATATCACAAGCGCGTTAAATTCTCAAATATTGCGATGACTACACAATATAAGTACGGGTAGCATATACGGGTATGATTATTATCTCTTCAATTTTCTTGTTGTTAAGGGCAAAATATTATTACAACTGCATTTTCCTACTTATCTTTATAATACTAAACCACTGTACTCTCGTACTATGTGTTCTTTAGTGGCAAATGATGAAATTCATGTACCAAAGTCCATAGAATTGCCTTATTTGTTTATTTATCAATGCTTTCATTTACACAATTTTATTTTTCTATAGTTTTTAACACAAAAGAATGCAAAAATGTCCTACGATTTGTTTTGTTTCCGGCTTTTGTTTTAACAACCTTCCCTTCTTTTATCTCTTGGCAGCAAGGCAAAAAATAAATAAAAAAGGAAAATTAAGTCAAACACAAAGATTATCCACTGCTTTTTTCAAAAAAAGATGACGACAAAAGTGTACTTGTTTTTATGCTCATTCGAGAAAAAAATTATCCTTGTCAGTTTTCCTGTTTAAATATACCCAACATCAACCCAAGCCATGACAATCACGGTGTGCACGGCAACTGAAATTATTAAATCATCACAGAGATGTCTACTTATAAATAGACAGACTGCATAGGCTGCCTTAGAGCCTATCTCTGAGCTTTTCTGTATTTTGTTCCGTGTTGGCACTTTTTTTAATGTAAGATTTTTTGTTAATTTTTTTTAACTTTAGCGTTAAGTTTATCTTATTTTTTTTATCTCATCGTTAAGCATTTAATTTTTTTTTGTTTGTTATGATTGTTAATACGACACATTGACGACGTATTTTACGTGAAAGATGTTCCCAATGGAACCCACTCAATATTCCTCCGTTGTCTTTGCCTTACTTTAATAATTTTATTCTGGATTTGTTTAAATGTACGGACCACATGCTGCGTTCTCTATCAGTACGTCTGGTACCAGAAATTTAAATGTGCGTCATGTGCTACATTGTGGTACTTTATTGCAGAATGAACCATAACAAAAAATAATTTATTTGAAATTGAAATTTTATTTAAAAATAATTTTTTCCATTTTTTTAATTGTTTATAAATAAATCTTTCATTTGTATATTATATATACAAATATATATAAATATCAATATATATTAATATTGATAGTAATAATATTGATCCTAAACAACTAAAAACATTGTGGATATAATCGTAGGTATTGAAAAGGATAAGGTAGAAATCTTTTCTACGCTTACAGCATATATTAGATCACATATTTCAATAGCATTCTATAGCATAGTAGAGCTTTGTTCTACCAAAGCTTCCATTGGTTTCAGAAGATTGACTTAGAATATATTCATATAATTTTCAAATAAATATCAGATTTACTTAATCTATAGAACAGAAAATCTAGAAGAATATTGCTGCTACACAAATTTAATGAAAAAGCTGCGATTAAGATTGGTTGCACATGTAATAAGAATGCCGGATATTAGAGTACTGCTTAAGATTTATAAGAACAAAGTAGGAACCAGTATAAGAAGAGTTCGACCAAGAAAACGATGGAAAGACAGTGTGCAGCAGGATTTAGAAAAAATTAACAAAAGAAATTGGAAAGCAAAAGCAAAAAACAAAGAAGAATGGAAAGATATTGAACAGGCTTAGGTCTTACATGAACTGTACAGTCCACAATGTACGATTTTCTTGATAGCAGACAACCGCATAATAAGTTGGTCTTCATTGATATTACCTATTAGACTTTAATATAATATTTCCTCATAATACCTTATTTAATTATGCTTAAGATCTCATTAAGTTATCCCATTAAGTTGCTTATTTATCTTTGCTATAGATTTTTGACTTTATAAGAAAAATATCAAGCTCATAAAATGAATGCTTTGATGCTTACCAAAAAGGTTTGGTTACAAAAAGAGTTTTAGTGAAGTATTTCTACGGTTCTATAATATTATGAAGTTGAAAAATGATTTAAGACTAGATTGAGGACTACTTTTATTTCTAAGTGTAAACGTAACTTGTGCTACTATTTCTGTATCAATCTATATCTTCCACTTTAACAATTACTCTTACTGAGATATTTTATCAAGAGTTTTGTCGGATGCCATAATCCATATGGAATGTAAACGCATGCATCTTTCATGAGAAATATTAGGATTGTAGTGTAAAGTGGGTGTAAGAATTACTTAAGATTCCTTCCATAGAAGTCGTATGAACAATAAACACTTCATATTGCATTCCTACCATATTTTGGTTCATAGAGTTATTAATATAAATTTGAGTGAAAAATGTGATTGTCAAGAGGTTATAATAATGTTGTGACCTGAGCACCTGAGCACAAAGGAGAAAAACAATTTTTTTTGATTGAAAGGTTTTCGACAATTCTTTTGAGTAAAAAGGTTGCAAAACAACAAAAATATCAATAACAAAACAACAAAAATATCAATAAAAAAAATAACGCAGTTAAAGAACATTAACTCTTATCTTAAAGGCTAAATGATTGTAGTTATGCTGTAAAAAAATCAAGTGACCAAAGTGACTCAATATTGGAAAACGTGATTGTATGATTCCACTGCTTACTTAGTAAGTTTAACTTTCATAGTAAATTTCATTTGCCATACAAAGAAATACCGTGTTTTTTAACTTACTTAAAAATAAAGTAAGGAAAATTGGACCAATAATATCGAATACATGCTCTAAATATAAATTTCCCCATAAGGGAAATTACCAAAATTTGAAATATCTGTCATATGTTTTATGTGTAAAAGAACAGCTGAGCAGTGAATATGTAATATGTAACCAATTGAATTTTGACGTAAAGTAGCAGGAATTACTCTCAAACATTGAGTAATTGCATTGCATTTCTTTGTGTGCGAAGTTTTTGGTGATCGAACTAAACTTGTGTTGTTTGTGGTTTTATGTTGTTTTGTTTCGTGTACAATTTGTCATAACTAATTACTTTTTTTGCATTCTGCTATTTACATTTTCTACGTTCGTTACGTTTATGATAACTCTAAAGTACGTAAGTTTTAAGGTTCGAACCCTCCCAAAATATTTGTATCATTTCACACTGGATATAATGGCTTATAAAGGTAAACAAAATAATTTTATATGAACTTCGAATTGGTTTTAAAATCCCCCTTATAAGTAAAACTCTGTCCGCAAATAAAACCAACATTCGTTACTTATCTTAAGGAATACTTAAGTTCCGAATAAACAAATCAATCGTAAATGTTTTGATTTTGGCCATATGAACTCGATGCAGAACAATGATACACATGTTGCAACCCGTTGTACAACAGGTTAGAACGTGTGTAACTGGCATTACGTCAACGACCTAAATGCCCTACAAATTGAGTTAAAATTATGTGCTTCATCATATTCATGGTTCAATCGTGTCGTTAGTCTTTGTTATTTAAATTTTTTTATATAAAAATTTCATTTAATAATGTTTCATATTTATCACCACTTTTTGTTTAATTTTATTTATTTCTATATATATAAAATATGTTTATCATACATATATACAAACCGTGTATTTTGCTTCTTGATAGTACACTTACATATTATCTGCTATCATTATTATTATTTATACTTTCCTTTTTTTTATATTTAGTCATTCCCTTTATTTTGCCTTGCCTTCGTGCTTAAAAGACCAAACACAATAAAAAAATATCAATAAAAGTTATTAATTTAATTTCGCGCTTATTATCACTTACAATACACGTTTTACAGGTGCTGATAATATCCTCTAACATAACAATTGTTACTCTGACATTTTGTTAAAGGCGTATGTAGCGTACGAGGACACAAAAGTGTAAATATGTATGTGTAATGTATTTTGCAGTTATGTGTGTGGCCTGCTGAGGAGCTCAAACAATTATTTTTAATCCTACCGCGCACTTAGTTGTCCCAACACATTGTGGCTAGCACAAATGCCATTGAAAGCACAAAACCGAACAAAACAAAAAAAAAAACAAAAGAGAAAAAAACAAAACTTAATGGAGATAAAATTTAATATAGTGAACACTCACACCACTGTTTTGATTTCTACAGTTTTTGTTGTTATTTGTAGAGTTTTATGATTTTCTTCCTTTCATTGTTGTTGTTGTTCATTCATATAGCTTTAATGTTTTTATTGATTCACGTTTATAACACTTCGCTGCTTGTTTGGAGATTTCTTCTTTTTTTTTTTCAATTTTGACATAGAATTATTTCATAGGCTTAGTGGGTTATAAAGATATATGACATTTTTTTCAATACTTGATAGTTTATAATATAAAAATAATTCTCTCAATATGTAAACTGATTATTTTATAAAATAATTTGATGATATTCCAAACAGGAACTTCAGATTTTTGTTAAAGGAAATTGATCTAAGTCGTTTTCAATATAACAATTTGGCCCCGCACGCCAAAGGATACTGTAACGGGAAAAAATTCTCTTGCCAGTTTCATTTTAAATCATGCTCGTAAAATTATCAACATATGATTTATATCACTACTTGGAGTTCGATGTCATCATTTGATTTACGATATGTATGGCGTGTCCAGGCATATTTGCATCAAGGTGATTTAAGATTCCCGATAATTTAAGATCTTGGCTTCCCTTGCTGTACCTTCTGCTCAAAAAGTACCCGGATTTTGTTGTTTGTTAACTACTCCTTAAGTAATAAACCTTTTTCAAAAATTTATTTTTTTTATGTTGGTATACTCTTTCTTGACATATGGTACAAATTTGAGCGCCATCTGTCAATTAGTTTGTTTACAGCAGCTTTTAATATGAGACTACCTCAAGTGCATTTAGCGATTTTTACTATGGAAAATTCGTGTTGTATGCGATTTTTCGACCAAACACGGCACCACTGTCATCGCTCAGGCATCATATTCGCCAGATCTGGATTCGTGGGACTTTGTCCTGTTCCCTAAACTCAAATTGCCCCTTCCTGGTAAGCGTTTTGAGTCGATTAAATCGGTAAAAGAGAATTCGCTGAAGGGTCTACGAAAAGTGAATGGAAGATTGGGTTAAGCGTTGACATATGTGTATCGCTTCAGAAGGACCATATTTTGAAGGAGATAAAATAATTTTGGTATTTATACTTCAATGCTTGAGTGCTAACAGTTTGTTTCATATTTTCGATAAGGTTAGAATGGCATTTCCATTATTTTCCTTCTAAATAAATGAATTTGAATTTGATTTTGTTTTTAATTTTTGAGTTGTTACTTCGAAACTCTTGAAGTAATCGAGCTCTCTCTCGACAAACGAAACTTACACTCTATAGGTCGCTCATCCTCCCTGTGCTTCTGTATGGCGCAGAAGCATGGACGTTATCACAGAATGATGAAGCAGCACTGGGAGTGTTCGAGAGAAAAGTTCTTCGTAAGATCTTTGGTCCTCTACGAGTTGGCGACGACTACCGCATTAGAATGAACCACGAACTGTACGAGATTTATCAAGACATTGATATAATTCAGCGCATTAACATCCAGCGGCTTCGCTGGCTTGGTCATGTCGTGAGAATGGATGAAGACGCTCCGGCGAAAAGGTGTTTGAAGCAGTAGTTGGCGGAAGAAGACGTAGAGGTAGACCGTGTCTCCGGTGGAGTGATCAAGTTGAGGGAGCACTAATTGGACTTGATATACAAGACTGGAGAAGGCGTGCACGCAGCAAAGGCGCCTGGGGAGACATGCTGAGTCAGGCCGAAACTCGGTAACGGGTTGTTATGGCCACATAAGTAAGTAAGTAAGTACTTCGAAACTATTTTAAAGTCGATTTGGTTATTTTAAGAATTTTAACTTTTATTTCGAGCATTATTTTTAATATATATCTATACGTATTTCAGCAAATTCACTTATGCCTTCATCAGGATAACTTTTAATATTTAAAATATTAATATATTAGTAATATATTATTAATATTAGAAATTCCCCTGTAAAGGTAAAAACTAATTTGCCGAAATATGTGTAATTGGATTATGTATGGCATATAGTTACTGAGGTTTCTTCTGGTAATCATATGAAACCTAACTCTCCATATTGGTTTTCTCGTATCACACCCCGTTAACCGTGTCAACACTCAGATTAAACTTAGTCAATGATAGCTGCATAGGTTGTCACAACATATTTGAGTTCTTGAAAGATATCAGTTTCTTATGATCAATACGGTGGCTTCTACAGACACTTGAACAAGCCAGCAACATGCTCATAATCACTCTAAGCAACTGCTTCATACCTAACACCATCTTAGAATTGTTCGCATAAACATACTTATAACTAACATGGAACAAAATATGATTAATGATTGATGGATTTGATTTAATACTGTTTTTTTTTTTGGTCAAACGTAAGGATCTTATCAGTAAGATTTCAATAGTAAATGGATTAACTAAGAGAGTAGGGAGTTGCTTGCAACATGAGTTACATTGTGGGATAGTTTTTGTCTAGAGAGGTTTAGGGAGTGCAATAATCTTACAAATTTTTCCTCAGATTCAATATATGCCATTTCAATATACTATTGAGGAATTTATTTTATTGAACCTAATAGATAACTGCACCACAAATATTAAAAACAGCTTTTTATTTTAGACTCCATTAGATGTGTATATATCATTTTTATTGTTATATTATTATCTTTTTCTAATTGTATGAAAACCAATTATTATGTTAAAGTAATTTTATTCATATTTATTTTTTGGTTCACATAATTTATTATTTTTTGAATCATTCGCTTAGGTTTAGCCTTTCACTTTCTTTATGCGCTTGCTTCAACTCAGATGTAGTGTTACAGTCGCACCCGATCACACCTATTTGACAACAGGTATTAGAAACGATAGCTATTCTGAACAATTTTTCCACTACGCTATATATGAACATATGGAAGGTTTATGTTCGAGACATAGGGTTTTAGAATTGAAATTTTTTGGATGAAAACCACCAAGAACAAATAGACTCTTTACCTTGCGCGTCGAATTGTTGCCACTAGTTGTGAGTATAATCACCACAAAATGTTCATATAGTGAACAGTGTTTATAGTTTTTATTCGAACTTCACACGTCTTGATATTCTCAGAAGTAAACTATATCAGCATAAAGTATAATAGGAAAAGTTGCTTTAAACTGTTAATTCTACTCAAATCCGCTGTTAAATAGGTGTAACTGTGAAAAATGTATTAAAAGAAGTCATCCAATTAATTAGATAATGTGGTAGCTGTTTTAAGTTGAATATATTATATTGTTACTTCCAATACTAAAATCCAAAATCAAAAAAATATTCCACTGCGACTGCCTTGTTAAATGAAAGATTAAATATTATTATTATTAATATTATTATTATTAATATTATTAAAGAAAGACTAAAACCGGAAATAGGCTTTCTAACGAATATTTTCATCAAAGTAAGTGAAAAATGTACGAGCTGTGTTATATAGATAGGGTAAGACTATTTTCTTTAGTTAAGTTAAGGATAGGAGTATAGAGAACTGTTTTTCTGGAACGAAGTGTTCAGCGAATAATTATTTTATTTGTATATTACAATATTAATTAATCACATAATAATTAATAATAATATAATTTCAATATATGTATAATAAATAATAATATTAAATATAAATTAATAATAATAACAAAATGATAACAACTATAGCTAATTGCCATAATCAATGTCTTAGAGTTCAAAATTAGTAGCACAAGGTCAGCAAATAATGCAACTGGAAAAGATCAATATACACGGGTATTACGGGTATTTATGTGAATAACTCAAGTGTTTAACAGGTGGCAATAATTAAATTCTTATTATCTCTAAAAGCTTGAATGAGTTGCCCTATTGCAGTATTTATTATTTAAATTGTTTTAATATAAAATCAATACATGAACCAAAAGTGAAATCATTGCAGTATTGAAAAATTATTTAATATATGTACATTTAATCTATATATAGGATATTTGTAATATGGAAATGACCATTTAATATTAATTAAAAAGATTTATATTTAGTTCTGTTATGTAAAAACAGATATTTCTAGATATCGTTAGAGTAATCATTTGCAGGTAATTAAAATGTCAATGCAAATATACAATGTTACAATTCAAGATATTTTCCATTAAAAAAAACAGTAGCTTGTGGTATTATATTCTCTACTGTTATGATTCATTTCGATTCATTTGCAATTAGGTTATTTTTTAATGAATTGTTAAAAATTACGAAAAAATATAGTTAAGTTTGTTTATACAGTTTAGTGAATGTATTTGTATAATTTACTGATACTAAGATATTGCAAATATTTCTAAAAAATATGTGTAATTATTATATAGTTGTTAAAATTACATTATTTACTTATTTGATTGGCTATAACAACCCGTTATTAGGTTTAAGTTTGGCGCAGCACTCCTTTTCAAGTGCCTCTGCTTTGAGCACGCCTTCTTCAGTCTCGTACACCAAGCGTCTCCACAGCAAACATGGAGTGATCTATCTCTCCTGAATACGGTTATCGTCGCCAATTCCTAAAGGACCCAAGATCTTACAAAATATTTTTCTATAAAACTTAATGCTTAACCTATATATTCTGCTACAAGAATAATAAATTTACTCCGATACCTTTTTTGTGGAATAATTGTTCTTTCTCCCCAAATAAGCCTTAGTTTCAAGACTCATTTTATTATTTGGGCCAAACTTTTTCACCTGGAGTTTCTCTTAGTTGCTTGCAAAAAGCAAGTAGTTGCTGGGGGTCAGATTTGAAGAGTACGGTGGATGGGGCACCATTTCAAACTATAGTTAACTTAACTTAATTATCGTTTTCATCGATATTTGACTTATTGTTTTTGATTCTGTGTGCGCAAACGTGGTTACCAATTAGAATTCACGCATATTTAAATTTATATAAAATATTATAGCTACACTATTGCCCGATATCTCCAGTCTTTTATAACTATTTTGTGGACTTTTTTGTTTTCTAGAACAACTGTTGATTTTGAGGTACAACTGTCAGTATCATTGGTGTTTATACGATGATATTAATATGCAAACTCTTCGTACCGCTTATCATGCCATGCGATGCGGAGACTCTGCATTGTTTAATGCGAACAGTGTTTATCCCCAATTAAATATTAAAGTTCTTAAAATAAAAACATGAAACCAAACAATTAAGTGAACCATTCATTAAAAAAAATTAATTTTTAAGTACTTATGTATATAA